TTTGCTCTCATACAAAGATTATATTACAGGCATTAATATATTTATATTAAAAAGAGCAGCGGGGCCCTCAGATTTGACACAATGTACAAGGATTTCTAAAACCAGAAGAGGAAAAAACGATCAGACTAAAACAAACTAATTTCTTCACACATATTTTATATATTTAAGACACACAATCTTGGTCGGACACCTCCAGCTACTAGATGCCAGAAAACAAGGAGAATGTTTCCAAATATCTAGAAGCTACAAACTTGAGATGTGATCCAGGCCTTTTGAAAACATATTTATTCTTAAAATTTAAATAAAAAAGCACAACAATCGGATCTGCTGGGATTCCTAATCGAGGGATGAACAAACAAAAGGAAGCGAGATGTTGGAGGGAGGGCAAGGCGCAGTGGTGAAACAGATGGGGATGGTGTTGCAGCTTGGGTGGAGCTCTCAGAGGGTGCGAGTGTGTGCTGGTGTGTGGGGACACCTGGCTGCCATGGCAACCTGAGCGGGCAGGTTGGAGGAGCGAGAGCTGGCCTGGCTGTTGCTAGGAGGGCTGGTGAGTGATCAGCGCTGGCATGCCACCTAAACCCAACCCCCCCCCCTTTAGCTCTACCTCAGGAGGCCACGAGGAGAGCATCATGGGAAGGAGGAGGAGTTCCACACAACTACAGATAAAGATGGAAAAACACAGCATCACCACTCTGGATCCATCTGTTGTTTTTCGGTCTGACCTTTAGAGGAGAGCACTCTGCTAAAGAGGAGACGGGACGCAGGGCGACGGCGTTTTGTCTCGGGATAAAACTTCAATTGGACAAAAGTGGGTGATGTGGGACATCTTGGTGTTTGAGACAGACACGGGCACCATGAGAAGCTCTCCTAGTCACACACTCACATGCACACACACAAACACAGAGTAGCGTTTCACCTGAGGCTCTGGCGGGTTCATTTTCCTCCAAACAGCATAAAAAAAACTAAATCATACTCTAAATCTAACAAATACACCAGAAACTTAAATTTAAAGCAATCAGAGTTCAGAGTAGAACATTCAGCAACAGATCAGAGTGCGAAATAAAAACATTGGTAGGTTGGGAATGTCGGAATGTCGATGTTTTAGCCAGGCAGGACAGGAAGCTGAAAGCAGCGGAAAGAGACAGCAGGAACTTATCCAATTACCGGACATGAGCCCAAGTTAATGACATCAGAAAACAATTACAAACGCAGTCTTTTCTCATTCCAGCAGAGTTGCATAAATCAAATCAGGACAGAATCTATGGGAATTCACTTAGAAACGGAATATGAGAGTGGTAAAAAAATACAAAAAGCAGATCTGGTTTTGTCTCCGCTTGGAAAGACGTCATCGATTGTCCGCTAACGAGAGAAAAACCTCCCACTGGGAACGCTGCAGGGACTCCGTACCCGTGTCACCTGTGCAGTAAAAACCACCTGGGGAGGAATTCCTCCATGCATCAGTGTGTTTGTTGATCCAGTGTAGGAAGCTGCTCCGGAACCAAAGTGGTGCTACAGGGCAGGACAACAGCTTCAGCATCATTCTGTCTCTTTACCCGAAGAGGAATGAACAGATGCAGAAAAAAAGACAAAAATCTAATCTCTTGTGCAATTTTAGCACTAACTGTCATTCAGTGCTGCTTTACATTACGCGTTGAATCAAACAAGACACAGAAACAGCTCAAAGCAACCTCCCATTCCCTTACTATAGTAAGAACGTTGATTTTCCTAGATTTTCCCTAGAAAATTACAATAAAAATCACAGTTTGCATTTGCTAAGTAGTCGTCCTATGTTGCAGACCCCCTCACAGTTTAGTTTCACGCCCTTTACCCAATAAACGCGGCAAAAAGCTGAAATGTAGTGACAAAATTAAATATTAAATTACAACAAGCCCAGTTAAAAGACAAAAATCAGGAAAAATGCATTTCACATGACAATAATAATAAAATAAGATTGCAGTCACGGTTCTTCAAGAACAGATTAAAGGCTTCGAGTTGAGGGAAAACTAGAGGACGGGCTGACGAGCTCAGTTAGAGGATTTGCTGATGGCGCTCGCGGATCTGCGGAGTTTTCCCGAAACTCTGATTTTTGTGGAGCGGGGCATGGTGGGAGACACCTGGTCGGAGGAGTCCGTGGTGGTCGTGGTGTTTCCTCCGTCGGTGCTCACGCTGCCGGTGAGCGATCCTAAAAGAAACGGAAAAAAGAGATGAAATAAAAAGAAAATACATAAAAAATAATAAAAACATGGCTGAACCTGCACACCCCAACATGCTTTCTCATGCACCGGACTCGGAAAGATTCCCCTGTTCGCGTGATTCCCACCAACATTCACACAACAGAAGATCTGAATTGATTTGACATGAATTGGAATTAAAAACGTTGCTTTTATTCACATGCTGTAGAAAAGCAAAGCTTGTTAGAAGAAAAGCCGGCTTCACTCCCAACTTTATTCCAGATGATGTAAAAAAAAAAAAAAAAAAAAGAGGGAACCTTTGCAGGGAAACAGAAAGTATCCGGATCACAGCATGACGGCAGAACGCTCTGAATGAAAGTGAAATTACACATTACGCTCTCGTTGTGAATATTGGAGCCTTCCTTTTGTCAAACCTGACGCTTTCCCACAAAAAATAACTTCCCATCTCTGATTATGGGATGGCGAAACTGTAATAAGCTGCTGAGGACAATCACGCATTGTGAACGCCGACTTCCTCGCTGTGCCCCTGACCCAATCCAAACTACGGGACCCCCGCCTGCCTCCGGCCCCATGCCTGGAGTTTAAACAACTTTTCTGCTTTGTGGAGGCGGCATCTGCTTGCCTATTTTCTTCCCCTATCCTTTTATTTCCTGCCGTTTTTCGGAGGCATCTCAAGTTGCAGCGGCTAAAAGGAATGGCAGATGGCGGGAGTGACAGACGCAGCGGCACACTGGACACCGGCAGCATCCAGGACTGCGGCTCGCTGGGAGGGGAGGATGAAACGCTGGGGTGTGTGTGTGCTTTGTGAAGGCCTACGGGGGACGTGAAAGGTCCAATTGTGGATTCTAAAATCTGCATATAAATATAAAAGCGGGATGGGCTCGGCCTTATGAACGGAGCGCATTCTGCATTCCCGTGTTTCTTTACTCATTCCAACAGTAAACTCGTCTACTGTAAACATCATTTTGAGATGGGAGGAACTCGCTTGCCGCACGGAGCAGTTCCTGCTCCCACTGCTGCACTTAAACAAGCGCTCAAACGATGCCCCGCTCCTTCAGGAAGAAAAGTTAGTGAGAAGAAAACGATTCTCAATAAACCGGCACCACTCGCTCCTAACTGGGCCAAAACTTCCATACAGTCGAGTTAATTCCAGATGGAGAGAGGAGGGAAAAGATCGATGGAGAAGGAAAACAAAGAGTCTGTAAATGGTCCTGCGATCTGATTGGTCCCCGTTGCAGCAGTTCAAACAAGGCTTTAGATGACAAAGACATCTTCCAGTGCGGCAGGTGTTAGTCTCAGAGTCTGCCCCAGGCAAACAGGCACACTCCAACAGGAGGAAATGAGAGAAAGGGGGGGGGGGGGGGGGGGGGGAAAGAAAAAAGTGTTCGCTGGGGGAAGAGATAAAGGCACACCACATGCAGGACCGAGGACCAGAAGTGTAGCCGTATTGTTCATGCTGCTACTTAGTCAGGTGCTAATTGTCGCCACCGTGCATCTCTCAATTACCAGCCTGGCCCAAACAGTGGGACACCCCCAAATAAGCAGCCTGGTTTCGCTTTCTTTTTCCATTTTTTAAGAGCACTCAGTAAATGAAGCTTGGTTAGTATTGAATGAAGAAGGAGAGGTTTTTTTCGGAGGAGAGGCAGCCAGGATGAGTGAAGGAGCGGAGGGTTAGGAGTGCAGCCGGAGCACAACAAGCTGCCGGTCTGACTCGGGGCTTACCTTCACCACATTTAGCAAGATTTACATTTTTTTTAATCTAAAAGAAGAAAAAAAAAACAGAGTAGATAATCATGTGAGAGGTGAGTGGACACCACAACAGCAGAGCCAACTGCCGACAGAGCTTCCACAGCGGTTAGCCGTAAAAGACAGAGTGGGTTAACCGATTCTGGAGGATGAGTTCGTTAGCAGCTGGCGTCTTTCTGAAGGTACTTTCAACACCAGATTGTCTGATGGGACCTAATAACAGAGATTTTTTTAAAAAGGTAATGGTGGGCAGTTCACATGGAAACAACCAGAACAGAAACATTTTCCACCAGTGGAGTGGTTAGGGTGAAAGAGTCAAAGATGGCGGGGCACCTCAGGAGCTTTTATGTGGTTTTATCCAGAGAGGACCCTTGTTTTCTCCTGTGTGGTTAATTGTTTAAGAAGTACAGCAAACAACCACAAAAAACACTTTGAAGTGAGCAAGCAGCGAACACAGAAGCCCGACGGAGCGTCTGCATGGTGGATGGGCTAGCTCATGCACTTGATGAGTTGGGTGTTCTCCACAGCAAACTGGTGACCTGTTGCAGTTCAAATAAAAGAAATGAAAATGAGCATGCAGGGCTTGTGCCTGAACCCAGAACCGGAGCTTCATCTAGCTACTTTTAACTCTCGGGCTCACAGAGAGCTACATGAGTGGATGGAGGGTGGATGCTACCGGGCAGCGGCTGGGTGTCATGCCGAGTACGAAGGAAGCAGGCAGTCTTACAGTTCAGCTTGGCCCAGGGGTAATCCATGTCCCAAACCATCCCCGGCCAGCGCCTGCACGCTGTCATGGAGCATGGATGACATGTTAGTGGCAGCAATGGCGGACGGAGCAGGATGGACAGACAGGAAATATGTAGGGACAAACACACACACTCCTGCTGAAAACGGCAGAGCCGTGGCTTTTTTAAAATAAAGGTGAGATGGGAAGCAGTTGGGTCAGCCATCACAGCCACAACACGGCATGTGCATCAATCAGCCATTACATTAGGACCATTGCACAGATGCTGGGGTAGACTCTTGTTCGTCCGAGACATCCTCAAAGTAAAAATGCGGGTTTCTCTCCAACATTTCAGTTTGACTTTGTCAGAGTTGCTCAGATTCAGCTGTTCTGCTTCCAGCTCATCAAATGCTTTTGCACCGGAAACCATCTACAGTGGTTATAATGTTATGGCTGATCTAAATGAAACACGTTTCAAAAATAAAACATTATGTTTCCATCCTGAACGTTTGGGGTGTCAAACCTGAAGGATTTATCATATAAATAGAAAATAAACACGTGCGTCTCAATTCTTCTGAATGGAGCAAAAAGATGAAAAAACAAACAAACTATGAAATAAATCAGAAACAATGAATGAATTTTAGACAGATTAGATGTAAGAACATGGTCAACATTGAGCTTGTAGCTCAGGGTAATAACAAGTAAATTACCACTGTTGGTGAGACAATGCAGGAACACTTATTGGGTTAATTGTGTTTCTTAGAATAAACTGAATCAGTTGCCGTGCTCTCAGCATCTCTTTCAGTGCTAATAAACCTCAAAACATTTTCATTTAACAAAAGTGAGTTTTGTTTTTATCCGACAGCATTAGGGATGCTGATTGTTCCACTGATGATACAAACCTGGTTCCCATTTTCTCTTGTTTATTGGCCGTTTGCACGTGGCATCACGCTACTCATGGGAACTGCTCCTACTCCTGGAGGGGGCCATTGGCTGGCAACATTCTCCCTCTCCTGGTACTAACATTTCACTTTTGTTAAGATAGAATGTGCTACTACTAGTTCGTCTGTTGAGTTTATTACAAATTCCCCCATATGAAGACGATAACGTTTATCTACATAGATAGAATCTAAGAAATTGCGAAGCATGCGGCCAGAGAAACACTACTTGGTACGTATGATGTGCACGTGTGCATGTAACTGTAACCGTTAGCAATAGAAGAAGTGATGCTGTTTTGAAGGCAAAGGGTGGTCACGCCTTCAATTTAGATTTCTCTTTTGTTCATTCACTGCTTTTGTTGTTTGATGTAAATCAATAATTAACTGTTTACAGCATTGTTTCACACCTGCCTAAAACTTTTGCACAGTACTGTACCGCTTTAGTAGAACTAATTTAAAGGTGCAATAAGTACGAATGACATCCTGTGGTCAGGTTTGAGTACTGCAGTCCTTGTTTCAAAACAAACATGTCCGCTCAGAGAAACTGACGCCAGCTATGGATCAGCGACAGACTCTAGATGACGAGTCGTACTCGGTAAGGTGATAAGCTGATAAATACACTTCACTGTGATTCGAGTTGTTGGTAATTGAAGAAAGTCCCTCGAGACATTTTTAGGGCAGACTACTTTTTCGTATTCACTGTTAGCATTGCTAGCTCAATGCGCCTCTAGCTTTCTTTTCCCGATATTAGAGTGAAACAAAACTATGCTGTGGCTTCTTAGGGAGACAAGTAATAACTTCTAGGTCACTCCTATTTACTGACTTCCATTCTTTCTGCTGCTTTCAGCCGCCTGGTGTTAAATTACACATGCCGGCACTGACTCCGCAACCCTGCAAGCTCAAATATGATTGGCTCTGGAACCAGGAAGTATGACGGACGGCCAACAAAGCCTACATCCCTCTTTGGCCTTTTTATAAAAAATAAATAAACGAACCACCCCCCCAGCTTACTGAGAATGAAATCTGGTTCAATGTGACCTTCCTTTCAACACGATGGAGACATTACGCCGTTTTGAGACAATTTCACTGTAAATTTTTACCTATTAGATCTTTAAAGTCAGGCACATCTGCAGGCAGCCCGATGAAGCTGCCACATTTTATTTAAACACATCTTTATGCTCCTGAGAAACGCCTGCTTACAAAATGCTTTAAAACATTTTTTTAACCCATTTTATATTGAATACTTGGTCAGTTTACTTGTTAACTTCGGTTAAACGTTTGATTTTGATACTGAGCAGCAGCACTGGTTTTAGAAAATGTGCATAAAAATATTTAAAAACATGATGAGCACATCTCAGGCATTAAGACACGCCCCCCCCCCCCTTCTGATTTCTCTGCAGAGATGGACTAAAGCTACAGAAATGTGAGCGACGGCATGTTGCCTGACTGAATTTCACAAATGCTACTTTTAAAGAACCCAACACACATGAAGACAGTCAAAGAACAGCCGACAGTTAATTTTCACTTGTCCACAAACAGTAAATATGCTGCACACACTGTAGAGCACCTCCAGAACACATACTGGCCCCCACATATTTGAAAATGACAAGACATCAGCGGTGTGGTTATCGTGAAGTGCTTTTCTTGTCAAAACAGAATGTGTGTCGGGATCCAATAGAGTAGAAAAGTGCAATCTTGTATTGATTTGGGCGCTGTTGCAGATCGATCCGAGCTGCTACAAGTGGGAAGAACAAGATAAGACACGTTTTCCATTCTATTCATCATGGACTGATAAGAGGGCTGTGCTGACATCCGCGAGCTGCTGTTTGTCGGTCAGATCTTTAAAGTGTTAGTAAGTGAGCTCATGAGGAATCACACGCACGCACACACACACACACACACACACACACACATACAAACAAGCACTCGGCAACTGCCATTTAAGAGGCTGCTTATATTCATGGGGAGGTAATTGTGTGGAAAGATGCAGTCTGGAGGAAAAAAAAACAAAAAACAGGGGGAGAGATGAACAAAGTAGCACGAGAGGGGCTCAAGGAAGAGGAGAAAGCCGTGTTTGAAGTCAGTCGGAAAGCATGAAGAGCCACGGCCTGTTGTTTGATATTCATCAGCGAGCGTAGGCGTTGAAGAAGAGCGGGGAGAATGAAGGTGGAGGAGGGGGTTGAAGGGGGCGAACAGGTGTGTTGTGAAGAAAAAAAAGATGGATGCAGATAAAGATGTAAGGAAAGAGGTGATGAAGAAGGGAGACATGAGAGGAAGAAAGATGATTCAGTTGTGAGATGACGCTGTAGAGAAAGGAGGAGAGAGATGGGAGGGTTGTTTTCTCACCTGTCCCGCTCGCTGGAAAGGCAGGGGAGGGGGAGAAGACCTGCGACGCAAAGTCTTCAAAGGTCATGACTTCTCTGTGGTTCTGGACGATGGCTTCTAAGTAGAGGGCTCGCTCCTCGTAGCTAGTTAGGTCACGTTAAGGGAAAAGTTTGGGGTTTAGAGGAAAAAAAAAACAAGGAAACAGGTGAAACTTCCCCTGAAATGTCCAAATGTCCATCAATCCTTCCTCTGGTTATTCAGGGTCAGGTTGCAGGAGCAGTACCCGAAGCAGAGAGGCCCGGACTTCCCTCCCCCCAGGGCTAGCTCTTCCGAGGGAATCCTAAAGATTGGTTTATGCTTGACGCGTAAACCACGAGGTTCGCACGGCTCCGCGTGGAAAAGTTGCGTCATTTTAACAACCACGCCCCTCCACCGCGCCTCCGCACGGCCCAAACTTTCCATACCGCGCACCTAGGAAATTTTCTGACCACGCGGACGGTCGGACGCGGAAAAACATGGCGGACCGGCAAGAACTAGTATGGCAGAGGTTCGTAAATACAGACATTTGTATGATTCAGCTCTCAGAGATCACCGTGATCAACATGTTGTTAATAATTCTTGGAGAGAAATAGCTCGCACTGTCGGGAAAGACGAGGACGCTGTTAAAAATGCTGGAATGCCATTTTGTAAACAACAGCATGCCGTAGAGCTCCATGCTGCCCCCGACAGTTTGGGAGAATACTGGCTCACCACAGAGACAAGCCGCATGAACCATAAACTCTGCAAGTTGTGAAGCGCGTTCCATCCGCGAGCCGCATCACCAAGCGGAAAGTGAATGCGTCAAGCATAAACCGAGCTTAAGGCATTCCCTGGACAGCCGCGAGACATAGTTCCTCCAGCGTGTCCCGGGTCTTCCTTTAGGCCTCCTCCCAATTGGACGTGCCCAGAAAACCTCACCAGGGAGGCATCCTAACCAGAAGCCCGAGCCACCTCAACTGGCTCCTCTCCATGTGGAGGAGCAGCAGATCTACTCTGAGCCCCACCCAGATAACCGAGCTTCTCACCCTCTCTCTCAGAGAGAGCCCAGCCACCCAGCGGAGAAAACTCATTTCAGCCGCTTGTATCCGCGACCTCGTATGCCCCGTTTCACTTCTGGAAATGTCTTAAATTTATCCTCATGAAAATGTTATTTCTAAAGAGCACAAATCAGGATTTGGGAAAAATATACCAGCAGGAATGAAAAGTTAATATTGCCGCATTAAGCACAAACACAATGGTGTTGAATGGGAGGCAGCTTCACTGGACCGAGCAGCTCCACCATCAGCCAGAAGCAAAGATGGAACAATCAGCCATGCCACACAGCCCCAAATGAGAGCGCCGTCTCCAAAATAATCATAAAAATATAAAAAAAAGAATACATCAGTACTGGCTTGATGCTCAGAACCTCTCCTCTCCCGACTCTCATCCTTCTCCCCTCTTTAATAGAAGCCCCGCTCGCAAGCTGCATGTCTAGGACCACCCTCCCCGACATGCCGCCTGCCACTTCTCCGTGCCATCAGGGGGAAAATTGGAGCCATTTGAAATTCAGAGTGACAAGCAGCGACTGAGGCCCGGGCAGCCAGCATGCAGGATGGATGGCCGGATTTGCAATGAGGGAAACTTCCGCAAATAAATAGATAAATAAGCCGACAAAATGGCTGCTGGGCGAGAGCAGAAAACATTCTGATACCCATTACCATAACATTATCACGGATATGTCCTGCTAGGGCTGCTGTGGAATGGAGGCAAGCGTTGGATAAAAAGAGGCGCAGGAAACCACTGGAAAAAAAAGGACCATTTGATGACATAATGATGGTGCGTATGTTTACAACATGTAGGTGTGCACGCATTCGAGAATAGGTCTGATTATTCTCTGTGACCATGGTTTCTTCTCAGACAATGCCCGACAAATTGCTTGACAAAATGCATGAACTCTCGCTCTGAAACACACAAAGCTCTGGTTACTGAACACTGATGACCTCCTCCCCCTCATCTCATTATGGCCGCCAGGGTGGAGTGAAACTAGGCTGTTGCCGACGCCAAGGATGTGCCAGGCTGGGCTGAGATAGGCTGGACCGGGCCGAGAGGCGCTGGTCTGGGTTAGATAGATAGGACAAGACAGTCACTGGGCAAGGCGCCGGCTGTGGGCACATGCCGCCACAGCAGGGGCCAAGGCAGCCATGACCAATGGCTTTGAGGGGAACCATGGCGAAGCAGGGATGACGGGCACCTGTGCCGAGACACACCAGAGGGTACGATCGCCAAGCTGTTCGGGGTAACGGACAGAAATGGACATAAGGCAGCAGAAGACAAAGGAGGAAGTAAAAACCCAGCTGCTCCTTAAAGAGTACTTGAATGATGCTACATAAAGAGTTTAAAGGAAATACTTGGCGGGATCTTTGGGGATTTTTCTGCTAAATTAAAAGTCTCGGACAAACACATCAGTAAAAGCATCAAAGTAAAAGCTCACATTTCACATTTCTGAAGAGTAAAATAAAACCGGCTGAGCTGTAGGACTCGCCAAGCAACCGGGTGTAACTAATTGACTGTTCTTCGCAGGAGAGCTGCCGAGCAGCGTGAACGTAAGCACGTAAAAGCACATCCTAATGCGCTCTAAATCTGTCCTCCAGACATGCAACGTCACTGTTTTCTGTCACTTGCTAGAAACTGTGTTGAACAAAGAGTGGGCATCCCAGGCTCTGCTGCCATGGCAACGCGGGTCACAGCTCTGTGTAGTGGGTCACGTCCAGGGTTTAGTAGATGATGACAGAGAGAGAGGATGTTTGTAAAAATAACAAAATGCGCCCAGAGAGGTGACAAGTGGAAGAAAAAAAGATACAGGAGGAGGAACGAGTGGACGAAACGACTCGGAGGGAAGCTAAAAAATGAAAAACAAGGAAAGACGAGGACAGAGTGAGTCTCGGCACAGCGTGGGTCAACAGAGCCATATGGCGGTCCATTATCAGAGATGCAGATGACTGTGGGCCTGTTATTGAGATTCCTAAAGCAAATATTGACTCCAGCTGGAGCAGACGCTCTCCGACTCTGACACACGCCTCTCCTCCACTACTTCCTTCCGTTGCCCTCTAAGTAAGACAAATGAATTTCAGTGGGTGAGGATAAAAGAATTACGAGAATAAAACTGAGATGCTGTGGAATTATCCATAATGGAAGGAAAATATGATGCAAGATGGATGTGAGTAAGAGAGACTAAAATAAGGTACACTGAGGATGTGTGTGTGTGTGTGTGTGTGTGTGTGTGTGTGTGTGTGTGTGAGAGAGAGAGAGAGAGAGAGAGAGAGAGGTAGACTACGCTAACCTAAATGAATGCTCAGCGATGTGTTTAAGGGAAAAAATGCTGCAAAGAAATCTGACCTGATCAACAGTGATTACTAATACTGCCTGCTCTCTCCTTCTCTTTTTTCTTTGCTCGCCCCTAATTACTAATCCATGGGCACAGCTTGTTCCTCTGCAAATGCACAGATGCTGCCATCTCCTCACAGTAACCTAATCAAGGGACACATCTAGAACGGTGACGCAAAGATTACGTCCATGACACAGACACCGAGCCTGTTGGTGCTGGCCTATTTTTGTGGAAAAAAAAAAAAAAAAAACAAGATCCAGCTGGTGGGCGGCTAGCAAAACAGGTCAGCCACAAGATTCTCCCAAAATGTTAACCTCCGTCACAAAACATCTTCACGATACGGTAGTTCACTGCAGCATCTTGAGCCATAAAACATCACAAAAGGGAAATTTCCGACTGGTTTACATTTCCACAAATGGACTGCAACTCAATCCACCCGTGACATAACTGCCACTTACAGATGAAGAGGGCAGACTGCAGGAGCAGAGTGTGTTGCACCTCTTTGGGAATTTCCATGGAATCCCTACGTTTCAAGTGGATGCTTTCCCATTAGGAAGAAGAGCGGACGACTGATGTCGACGGAGCGTGGCGGCCACCAAAACAGTGAAGAAGACAACGTGGTAAGTTTGGTGAGAACACAGCTACCTGGGGACGTGGAGGTTGTTATGGACGTGTGGGACATGGACGAGGTGGAATGAGAAAAGCAGAGATGTAATTAATTGTGTATAACCCAGCATGTAACGTAACAGATGTGTTTTCTCTACAATCTCAGCAGTGCATCTCAACGTACTGGGAGCGTTTCACACGTGCAGAGCCTGCAGATGCTTCCTCATTCTGAGCTGCTGAGCTTGACGTGTTCTGGAAGCGTGTAAAAAATAGACCAGTGCATAATTCTAGTAGCGCTGTGCGACACACCGCTTCTGGGACCAGTCCAAAAGGCGCCACAGTGCGCCCGGTGGAAACAAAACTATGGCAGCAGCTGTATTGCACTGCGTGGACGTAACGCATCAGGTGGCGGCCATTAACGCAATGTCTATAAGTCCGAGTGAAAGCTGCTGCTCTTCTCTTAGTTTTGTCCGGACTTGTAACACAGTGACTTATAGCTGGCTAAAGCACAGGAGTGTGACCCGTAAACATCAACACAGACACAAGCCATACCTGTGAAGCCATAAGCGCTTCTGAACCAGCATACGTGTTTATGCATATATGCATCCGTGGGTGTGTGCACATGCTATGTATACATATGCATGTGCGCGGTCCAGATGGCAGGGAGGTAGCTCCGGGGGAATGGTGGGGGTCGAGCATCTTTGTGGATCAAAGCCAAGGTCAGGGCAGCTGCAGTGGCCCATGTTCAAGGTGAATGGAGACCTCAGATGGCTCTTCATTAGAAGGCTGGCCCAGCCCTGGTGAGCGCCACCAGCCAATCACTACAAACACTGCTGGGCACTTTGCACCCTTTCTCCTTCCATCCACGGGGACCTGGTCCGAAAATATTCGTCCGCTGGGATCCTGCTTCTACTGTAGGCAGCCGCATGCAGACGCATTTGGATGCTCACACACGAGCTTTAGTGTGTGACAGAGACACACACGAACACCAAATACCCTCCATCTACACAAGCGGCTGCTTTAAAGGCTCAGTTTGACCTCTGAACCAGAGTCTCTCTGGAGAGAAGCATCCTGACAATCAGACCGGGCTGACTCTTTGTGCTCCTCAGTCTCCCTGCTGACTAAAGTCCTCAC